CCTTGCATTTGCCAGTCAAGCACTTGTCCTACTGAGCCATCTCTGTGGCCCCTTGTGATGCTATTTACTGAATACATCCATGTGCTAAAATGGTGACATCTGATCAAGGTTTGTAGCTTAGGTAATGATATTACACCAGTGCCAATTTTCTGGTCTTGAGAATGTCTTTTATATAAGACATTGATAAACTTGAGGAACTTGGGCAAAGGGTACATCAATGTTATTTCATAATATCAATTAGGAGATAAGGCAAAATAAAAAATGAGTGGATACAATTTTTATCACTTTTCATTATAAACTTGCAAGACTCTTGGCTTCTTGTGGGCCTGGACTACAGCAGAGCTTCTCTCCTGTGTCTTATTTAATCATCAAATTTACCCAATTTCTCCAATAGCATCTTTGAGAGTCATTTGAACAAACACTTCCGAGCCCAAAATATCTTCATAAGAGAAGCTGAAAACTTTTTCCAGGTACCTAAGAGTCTAACCCTCCTCTCTTTAACCTCACTAAAAACAAGCAGTGCACAACTTTGTGTCTGATGCCTACCCATCAGCATGTTTAGACTTAGTGTGTGTAAGTGTAGACACAGTATGTACAAAAAAGAATGATTTTCTATACTATTGTTATGGTTTAGATCTGAAATGTCCCCCTGAAAATCACGTGTTGAAGGGTTGTCACCAAAGAAGCAGTGCTCACAGATGGCGCCTTTGTTGGCGAGGAGACTGCGAGGACTCCGACCTCATCAGTGGGTGGTTCCACTGATGGATTCTAACTTAATAGGCTATTGGGAGGTGGTGGAAACCAAGAGGTGGGGCCCACTTGGAGGAAGTAAGTTTTCGGGGTTGTGCCCTTGAAGAGTATATCTTGTCCCCTTTCCTCCATTTAAACTGTTTTGTGAGGTATCTCGTCACAGTGAGGACGCAGTCACTAATGCAGCTGTTTCGGTGTCTGGGTTCATCACCATTCCTGCTGCTAGGATCAATTAGCAGGCACCCACAACTTAAAAGAGGAGATGTTTATTTGGCTCACAACTGCAGAGGT